TTCCGCCAGCAGCTGTGCAGGTATGCCCGCTTCCTGTGGACAGTGCCACTGGCTGACGAAACCCTCTGTCCAGCACTGTGTGGCAGGATGGGAACAGGGGTTGGGAGAGGACCCTGCTCCTGGAGGCACTCAATGTCTGGCTACAGAATGACTGAGCAGTGCAAACAGAAGTTTGTCTGAAGTTCTTTTCTGAATATGGACTGGAAAAGTCAGATATCTGCTTAAGGGAAGAGAACAAGCTTAGAGACAACAAGATGTCACACTGGAGGGGACTGCCTCTATTTAAGCTCCTCAGCAGAGCCCACGAGATGCTTCATTATGTGTCCCTAATCTACCTACGCAGCACCCCCTCCTGCCTGACTTATCTAACATGCTTGAAGTTTCCTAGACGATCATGTTTTCTTATGATTAAGCTATTTACATACAGCAACAAATAGGAGCAAACACATTCCCTTATGCAGGCATGCTTCCAGTCTTCACAGCAATACCAAGGCAGATACATGTAACATTATCTGGCCACATTGAGGGTGGGAGACTTCAGTCTAGAGAGGTGAGGTCACTTACCCAACACTACAGAGCTGGCAAACGGCAGAGCTGGAATACAAATGCTCTGACAATAGCTCTCCCTGTGGTATGTTCCTAGTATCTCTGCTGGCACCTTCTCCTGCCTCTAGGCACCTGCCTGGGCCACACACCCCTCCTCCATGTGCCTGCAAAGCACCACCTGTGTCTCTGTGGGACGTCTACCTACTCCTTCCTCACCTGGGGGCCTGTGGGCTGTGGCTCCTTCCAGGACAAGCACTATGCCCTTTATCACTATCTTCCTACTATCGAGATGCTCAGGAAGTGGGTCTGAGTGAATATGGATTCTGATTTAACTTGGAATACCTTGAATACGAGAAGATCCAGAACCTAAAGTCAAAGATCTGTCCATGCAAGGATCTGGAGCAGGGGTGGGGTAGAGACAGAAGGTGAGTGGCTGGCTTGGCACTGTAGCTCAGTGGGTAGGACGCCAGCCACATACCCAGGGGCTGGCGGCTTCACACCTGGCTAGGGCCTGCCAAACAACAATGACAACAACAACAGCAATAGCCGGCTGTTGTGGTGGGTGCCTGCAGTCCCAGTTACTCAGTAGGCTGAGGCAAGAGAATTGCTTAAGCCCAAGAGTTTGAGGTTGCTGTGAACTGTGATGCCATAGCTCCTTACTGAGGGTGACGAAGTGAGACTCTGTCTCAAAAAAAGAAAAAGAAAAAGAAAGTGAGTAGTTACTGATCATACTGTATAGCCTGTGCTCACTCAAGTGAGGTAGGAGTTACTCTCAGGGATGCAAAGTAACAAAAATAAAGGCTCTAAGTCAGCGGTTCTCAACCTGTGGGTCAGGACCTTCCTAATGTTGTGACCCACAGGAACTGTATTAATGGGGCCGCTGCATTAGGAAGGTTGAGAATCACTGCTTTAAGTAAAGCTTTTAATTGAATGAAAGAGCCACCATGCACAGAGAACTGACAGTGTAACTATATTAACAGTTAAGATCAAAGTCCCTGGGTTCAAATCCTGGCTTTACCACAGTTATAAGGCATATGAGCTCATAGCGTACGTGTCAAATTCTACCTCTTAAAGCTTAAATTTATTCCTTTCTAAAATGTAGATGACACTTCCTACAACTGTGAGAATTCAATAAAATAATTTATAGGTGGTGAAAAGCACATGTGTGGCCATTACAGCAACTCGCAACCAGCGTAAGTCATATCAAAGCGATACTAAAATGACAAACCGTAACCCAAACACATTCTTCAGAGAGGGCGGAAGGATGGTGGCCGGGTGGACTGGTGAAGACACAGTGTCAGCCGGCATGGGGCCCTGAAGCGGGGCTAGTGAGTCGCACTTTGTTGGTCTCTCGCCTCCACTAGATTCTGAACTACCTGAACGTAGGGTTCCAAGTCTGACGGATCTTTGCGCTCCCAGCCTCTGTCGTGTCTAATATAACTCATGCTCGATGAATGTTGTCATCAAGAAAATAAATGAATTCCAAGGGGCAAAGTCAAGGCTAGGAGACTTGGGAACACCTCGGTGTGACTGGCCTGTCTACAGCAGGGCCTTCTTTCTGAAGTAGGAAGAAGGAAGGGCTGGCAGAGGGTAGGGCAGACAAGACCGTGAGAGCAGAGCGGAGAGTCCCGTCCAACAGTGTTCCTGACCCTGGATCACAATCCCTTTTTACATTCTGATGAAGCCAGGATTCTTTAAAAAATGAAAATAAACAAAACACTGTACAGTAACCCCTGGATTATCTCTGAAGACCACCTGAGGGTTGATCCTCTACCTATTCATAATTCCTGATTTATTATTTTATATGCCAAGTCCTAAAAACACATTATTTATTTATCAAATAAAGAAAATGGTGACAAATTACAGTAACCAGACAGTAAAGAGATGTGATACATGTCACATTCCATTTCTGTGCAAGAAAAACGATTAAACAAAAATACAGTGGACTTATTTCACATCGGTCTATGAAAATGATGAAGAAATTAATTTCATTCTAAGGTAATTTAGTTATTTCAGGCTAATTTTGGCTATTAAAGAAAAAACAATCTCATGTATTTCCTTTCTATCTTAAATATGTGAATTAGACAAATAAACTCTGCCCAACACTATCACTTTCAGGTTACATAATACGGTCCTAATATTACCTTGAGTTTTAAACAATTATAGGATGTAAACGTCATTTCACTGAACTGATGTAGACAGGGAGACTCGCCCAAAGTCACACAGGGCCCAAAAATAAACACTTAAAAAGTGAGACTCTCTGGAAGATCAGGGCCTAAGACGGTTGAGAAAAAGCAAGAATATCTGCAAGGTGAGACCAAATTAAAATCAATAATACCTTTCCTTCACAGATGACTAGATTTTTAAATTTCATGAAATAATTTTATGAAACACATTTTTTTTTGGAGACAGTCTCACCGTGTCACACTCAGTAGAGTGTTGTGACATCACAGCTCACAGCAACCTCAAACTCTTGGGTTTAAGCAATTCTCTTGCCTCAGCCTCCCGAGTAGGTGGCACCCATCACAACACCGGCTATTTTTTTTTTTTTTTTTTGTAGCTGTCATTATTGTTTGGCAGGCCCCAGCCGGGTTTGAACCTGCCAGCCCCCATGTATGTGGCCAGAGCCCTAGCCACTGAGCTACAGGCACACTTTTAGAATAGTTATCTTAGAGGATAATTTGTTTTATAAACTTCAGAAGCACAAAGAAGTCATACTTCCACAAGGCAAAAAATAATTATTATCAAAAATTTCCAGCATATCTGTATAAAACTTTGACTCTACATAGATACAAAAAAATAAAATTGGGTTAAGATTATACATTAAATTGGCAAATTGCTTCTTTTACTTAATAATTTGAATTTTTTTAATGCTATTGACTAGATTGTTTTATTTTTATTAAAGAAAGTAGTCAAATATTTAAATAGTGTGGTAACCTGAGCCTCTGATCTCTGTAGCATGTAATAAAGCTTACGGGGTCTGACTTGTTTACATTCAGAAAGGTTCTTTTCTGACCTAAGTATTTAATTTTCCAAAATTACTAGTGTTGCTAATAGGAAACCAGTGTGGGGAATTTCCCACGTGACTTTAGACAAGCTTAAGACTGACTTCATCTTCCATAACACATCAGAATCACTGGAAGAAAAAGGCAAACTCACCTTTGTTTGATCTTGGTGCACAACCCAGTTCCTTTGGCATTCCAAGATGGCGGACCTCTCCTAACAAAAGAAAAGGCATCTTTTACTCAAAATAAAGAGAAAAACATCCCCCAAGAAATAAAAGTTAAACATTTTACGTAATCTATAATTAAAAAAATAACTCACGTCAAATGATTAAATAATAACTTTATTAAATATTTGTCAGTTTTAAGTAGTGCCCTCAATTACTAGCCAAATAATGTATTACAAATAACTAGTTATGAGGTTTTACATTTGTTTAATAGGGAATAATTGGCCCCAATTAAACTGACTAAACTAAGGCTTTTTAGATTACTAAAACAAATTAAACTTTTTAAAATGAGAATTTAGGTGATCTTAAAACCTTTCTAAAATGGATAATGAAACTTGCTAAGTTGTAATCTCCCTGGTTTTATTAGTTATATTAAGATAAATTAAGTGAGATTAAAATCTTATTTGATTTATTTACCTTTGAAAATGAAGACCGTTTAAGGGTTACACATCCTCAGCCTTGGCGAGTGCGACCTCAATTAGTCAAGTCAGAGTGTCTTTAAAAGCTTTGTGCTTATTGCTTCCAGCATGGAGCGAGGTGTTCATTAAGGTACCAAAATTCACATAAAAAATCCAAAGTTGCACTAGTGAAAAAACGCTCAACAAGATGAAAACTGATCACATGTTTTTCAGAAAATCCAGTAGTTATTTTAAAACCAGTTTTTAAACAAGATTTGGTTTTGCGTAGTTTTAACGTGCCACTCAAGCAGCTTGACACCATTTGGACTCTTTAAACAGCATTTAAATCTACGGTGAGTATATAATGGTACATTTAATTTTATACCATTTTTAAAATAAGTTGTACAATGTTTAGTGTGACCCTTTTATGACAAGCATTGTTAAATGAATTCTTTCCCTGTTTACAACTATTTATGAAGGCCTTTTTAAATAAGAGAAACATGAAATTGTTAGCTCACACACACAAAATTTCTTTCAAAAGTTTATTTAGTATCAAGCAAGAGGAGACTTTGCTTAACACTACAGAACATTTCAAGACTTGAGTTACAAAAGAATACCACATTATTTGCACTTGTAATTAATTGGCTTCCCTTTTTACGCATGTTGGCAAGAGAAAAAAATAACTAGCATATGGCTGAAAGATAAAATAACTAAATTCTATGGAAACCTTTAAAATGAAAGGTGAGGCTTATGTTAAAAGAATAGATTAACATATTTAGTAAACCTAGTTTTTTGTTTAACACTAGTTAATCAAGTTATTTTTTTTCCCTTTGGATGACCTATTTTTTCATATACAGACTGGAAATAACAAAATTTTACATGTTTTTTGTGTTTTTTTTGTCTGCCCAGGTTGATGTTTCAACAAAGTGGTTTAAGTTCCATCCATTCAGATTTTAAGCATTTTGATTTATTTAAAAAGGGATTGTTCATAGAAAAAAATTACTTTGAACAGTATACAGGACTGGTGGAGATTGGCTATTTCACAACATCAGACAGTACAATCAGTATCTGCCATATGGCTGGTCTCTGTAGACGCCCTTTGCGGATCTGGCTGAAGGTGCCTTGTGTCTGGAGTTAGTCCACTCCTCTTGCCCTAAAACCAGTAAGATGAATCACAATTAGATCACTGCCATGACTTCCAATGGCTTCATTTTTCAGAATCCACATTAGCCCTGAATCAATGATAGATGTCAAATTGAAGATATATATCCCCTGATGTACTGAAAAAAGAAGTACCCCAAAACAATTAAACAACCACAGAAAACGCAAAGAGTTTAAAGAAATTAGAAGTGCAATGGATCATCTCACTAGCAAAACTTAGCAGCACTGGAAAGAAAAATGGTATCATAAAAGGCTACAGAGTTTGTACTTTGCAGGAACTTTGCTTGTGGCGACTCATGTAAGAGAACTGTCTTTTATAAACCTAATGGCTCGTGAGTGGGAGAGAGAAATGAGAACAGGATCACCTAGATTTCTTCTAACAGCAAAAACAAACAAAAAACAAAAATTTGTTAAGACAAGGAAAAGAAAACCGAGGAGCCAGTGGCTGTCTCCCTCTTCACAGGGAAGCTGCACAGGGTGGAGTCCCCCTCAATAACACTTCATAGCTAATGATGAACTTAATGATACAGTGTCAAATTTCACTCACCATCGTATTAAATGATAATGCCATTAATAATAAAGGATATGCTACCATCTTTATCTCCTGAAATTAAACACTGTTCAGCCTGAAGATAACTTTTAATGAGCTGTCTACAGGTTCTCTGACACCAAACAGTTAATGTACCTGCTGCAACTTACAGCAATTTAAAACCCATGTGTCCACAGAGACCAATTTAAAAAGCTGTAAAGGAAAAGTGCTTAAAATGACCTCTTCTTTTGACACAAACATGCAATCAACGTCATTCCCTCAAGCTAACTTGCATCAATTTAAGTAGACAGCATTCAGCAAACCAACATATTTTTCTTAACTGTTTGTTACGAATAACAACAACAACAAAATTCCAAATTATGGTTAGTCATCACAGCTTCAGGCAGGCAGTGCAACAAAATGCACTTCAAAAGGTTTAACACCAGAAAATGGCTTTTCGGTTATGTTCAGAGAAATGTCCTAACATCCATTAATCACAATCTCGGTTTACTTGTGCTGGGTACCAGGCGTTCATCAGAGCTTTGCAACTGATTGAAGTTTCTTATTCTTTGATCTCTTTGCCTAGTGGCAAAGGAGCTTCTTACTCTCACCCCCTCGTTGCCATCAATTCTTTTAATTACACCTGTCATCCTTTTGGGTAGTGAGACTGGGGACGGCGAGCCCCCAGCATCTCACCAGCGCCCAGGGCACCAAGCTGTTTAGAGGCGTCTTCCTGCAGCCTGATGGGCTCTGCATCTTGCCCCGGCTCAGCCTTCTGTAACCTTATGAAACGACTCCCCGTGTAAACTTCTCAGAGAATGTAAGAAAATCCCTTTAGAGCTATATTCTCAACTGCTTCACTTTCCCTTTAATGTTAAGAAGCAGAGACCCACACTGTCAAGTGCGTGCAGTTTGGCGGACTACTCTGTCAGTGAGAAAACCGACACATGCCAATCAGCCCAGACAGAAGATCTACGTTGGGAATCTGGATCCATGCAATTTTCTGCAAGTCTTTAATCCTCTTTACACATTAAATTTAAATATTAAAGAAACTTCTGAAAATAGCTAGATCTGCACAAATGAACTGAGAAGAAGGTAGGTGCTGGTTCACAACCAAAACATCGTTATGAATTTCTCTTCCAGTTAAGATTCTTTCTGTGGCCATCTGCCCCTTCTCTACATGGTCCAGCTTGTGACTCACCGTAGGAATCGTAGGTCTCCTCACTGAGTCCGTGTCCATAATCATAGTAATCAGCACCACTGTATTGAACAAAACAAAACACAATTGGGACAAAATGATTTGGCTGCAAGTATAAATGATATTCAATGAAGTATTCCACAACTCAAAGGTAACTAATAAAGGGTAGGGCTAAAAATTAAAAGAAATTCCCACCAAGACCACAGAGTCCAAAGACAGAAGCCTTATAAACTTTATGATTTTCAAAGGCCCCTTGCCTAATTCCCCAATTTTAATGCATAAGAAGTATGTTGATATTTTAACCACAATTGGCCAATCCACACGCAGCAAGTGCCTAAGGTGCATGAGCGAATGCAGAGGCAGTGCCTGAGTCGGGCAGAGCAGCCAGCGTGCACTGAAGGAGCTTGTGGGACAACTCAGCACAGCGCACCAGCAACTACGCCAGGGGGGCTCGTGCCAGGCACCCTGGGGTGGAGGGGAGACGACCACCACTCCTTCTTTCCAAAAGATGGGATGCTGACAGATGAATTGCAGGCATTTACTTGATAATACATTAAAAACAGGTACCCAGATTACATGTTTTCTTTCATCAGCACTATTGCAGCACCATCAGCAATGATGGCTCAGCAGCAATGACCATGTGTGACAGGAGAGTGGGAAAGAGTCTCTGTGATCTAGTTGCAAGTCGTGTTACATAAGGCACGTTTTCTGTCCAGCATCCTGGGACAGCAAGAGGGGCAAGCCTGTTATCACTGCCACCTGCAGCCAGTGGGACGCAGGTTACACACGCACACTGTACTGGAACTAGGCATAACTTTTTATAGGAACAAATCTGTGGAAAATCTAGATTACTAAACTGTAAGCATTTTGAGTATTTGAGGAAGTTTTCAATAGCCCCTTCACAGGCTTTCCTCTTTCCCATTTTATTTACTTTTGTAGGGAAACAATCACTCGGAATTTATATCTTTGATGGTTATGGAAATAAACATCTCCATTATTCCAATTTCACACAATCAAAAAGTTTGTAATCACAATGAAAAATCATCCATTTCAACTGTTTAAAACCTTAGGCAATCACAATACAAATAATACAAATCCACGCTGTGAGTGCCTATTGCATGCCAGTGGCTGAGATCCACCTGAGATCTCACATCAGCGTATCTCCATGTCACAGATGAGGACAGTGCAGATTAGAAGGCTAAGAAGCCAGCCTAAAATCGCTCATTCTACGTGACTACAAAGACCAGCCTTGTCGGTAACCTGCACACCTGGCTCTCCCTTTGGGTTTCCTTCTGACATAAGAGACCAATCATCAAATCCAGCACCTACAGGACAGCACGGCAGTTCCTCTGAGAAAAGTATAGACAATAGGGCTGTGCGTCCTCTGTCTCACTCACGCACGGTGGGTCTTCACAGCTGCCACTCCTGCCAGGAAGGCTCTTCCCCTTTCCTCCAGGCTACTTTCTACCCAGTCTTTAGCCTAAACGTCACTTCTTCTGAGCACTCCCACCTCCAAGGGCTCAGTTGATCCCACTCCAGCACACTTCCCCAGCCTCTCGGCCTTCTGGCCTGGAGCAGACCCTTCCACTATCGTGCTGAGTGACGGGGGCCATGGAGAAGAGACATCGCATTGCTCTGACTTGATGGGGAATGTGATGCTGGCCCTGTGTTATGAAAGACCAGGAGGGAGAAGGCAAAGAAGGGCTGAGGAGAAGGAACGGCCGGAGACGGGGCAGCACAGGCCTCTGGCAGAGGGAACAGCATGCAAAGCATGGAGGTACAGCATGTTGAAACATCCGGAGTCTACATGCAGTTCTACCACATAGAATTAATGATTGTTGATAAAATGCTGGACCACAACACTCCCTAGTGCAGGCGTCCTCAAACTACGGCCCGCGGGCCACATGCAGCCTACCTAGGACATTTATCCGCCCACTAGGTGTTTTTGCTGCTGCTGCCTGTCCTGCTTAGCAGCCAACTCGTCCCGGGGCCCGCAGTCCAGCCCTCCAATGGTCTGAGGGACAGTGAACTGGCCCCCTGTTTAAAAAGTTTGAGGACCCCTGCCCTAGTGTAAAGCACTTCCAGGTGCAGAGTACAGGCCTGGCCTTGTCCGAGTGCAAACCCTCCTCACCAGCCTGCTGACACAGCGTCACAGGCTGTGATGACATGGCTCTCGGTGGCATGTGTGCTCTCGGGAATGTGCTGTGCTAAGCTCAGTGGCTCTTTTCAATGCTGCCCAGGAACAGAACAGTCACTTCCATAGCTGACCTTTTACCCCAGTGGCCATGTGCAATTTTTTCCATAGATGCATACGGAGGTACAGTATAAAAGACAGTCTTCACGTGGAGGGCTGGCAGTCCTTGAGAATTTTGAGGAAAGGAAGGGAGTGCAAGAGGGATGGAACTCCAGGGCGCTGAGCAACACCCTGACGGCTTCTCTCTCACACGCACGCTTGCACCTACCTAAAAACTCTGTACTTTCACAGCCAAGGCCGCTGAGGCTCTGGCTGGGCTGAGTCCCAGGGTCACACAACTGGCAAGTGGCAGCACCTCCACTCAAAGCTCAGGACACTGCTACTGCTCCACTCGAGTGCTGCCGGAGGGTCACTCACCCCGGCTGGTCCCCACACGTGATCAGTTCTCACTCCACTCTGACCTGCCCTTTTGTTTTTCTCTTCTTGGCTTTCCCTGGGGGCCTCACATGATCCCTCCTCACTCTCAGAAACAGCGTTGAGAGTCCACCTGAAACTTACCGCTATGTGATCACAAGGATTTCTAGCTGCCTTAGTTCTCTCTGGCCTCAAAATCTCCCTCCCTTACTGCAGGTCTCACTTTCCCTGGAGGCATAACTTGCATTTGTGGAGAGAAGAAAAGAAGAGGGAAATAACAGAATAAAGAGCAGAGACGTGTTCATATTAAGATGAAAAAATAAATCTAGCACAAACAAAAGAAAAAATATGGCTTTCCAACTTCTTACGCCATTATGGCTTTAAATACGAGAGTGCTATTAAAGTAGAATATTTTTCTTGGCTTGAGAATAGATTCGACTTGAAGTTTTTCATAAAACTTAAGTGTCAAATGTTGGTCAAGGCATCCCTAAACTGGGGCCTTCCCCTGCCCTGCACCCCTGGGAGTGGGACCCCCACGTGCTGCGCCTTCCTGTCGCACCTGTCAGTCAGGGCTGGTCTAGACTATGCACAGACATCTTTGCAGCTCAAACGTTCTTGATGGCTCCTTCACAGCAGCTGGCCCCAAAGTAGTCAGAATAACTTCTCATTTTGTTGAAAATGAATTGGTTAAAGCATTTGGAAACTCAGTACTAAATTAAATGAACCTCAGTTTTCTTTCCAAAGGTTAGAAGTTACATCATAATGGTTCTGTAGACAAATAAAACCTTGATGTTTTTGAGAATTTTATCTCTGTTGCACAGATAAAATGAGAGTAACCTCTTCATAAATCTGAAAAGCATTTCCTTCCCTGAGATGGTCGCCAATTGTTTAACTTGGAACTGTAAATGACAGGTGCTGAGACTAATAAACGGTAGCCTGACAATTGCTTTCTGACCAAACTAAGCTTCCTTTATTAAATGAAGTGAGCAGTAATGAACATCAGTCTAGATTGGAAATTGGTCTGTGAGGTGCTATAACACAGTTCAGCCCTAAAAAAGATGAGGGCAAAGAATGCTCACCAATGAACAGGAAGATAAAAGGCAGCATAATACGGTCCAGCCATGGCCTGGTGATGAGACAATCTCAGCTTTGACAAGTGAAAACTCCAAACTGGCATTTGCTATCATTTCGCCCAGTTTCTGATTATTTATTGTGAGACTGTCATCAGGCCCAGGAGCTGGGAGCAGCTGAGCCCCATTCCCATACCTGTCAGTTCCATCTGAATTGCTTTCACAGCATTTCATTCCGCGCACCTCAAATGTCTATTAACCAAAGACGTGTCCTATTTCCCAAGGATAAACTGAAAACCCAACATATGGCAAAAGAGAAAAAAATACACTAAAAATCTCTTCATTTATGGATACAGGTTATAATATTAATAACAGGAAAGAAAACATATTGGTCTGAATATTCCTCAGTGTCATCAAAAGGGATCCTGGAGCCTCCCTCCCCAATAGACCAAGAGTAGGCTTCTCTGCCCAGCCTGCCACCCTGCCCGCATGCTCCACCCCATTGTCAGGGTCAGAGGAAGCATGTGTGGTCTGCATAATTCCTGGGTTTCCCAGCGGTGTTGGATTTCACCAACTCAAGTGGAGAAACAGCTGCCCTGCCCTATCCCTCTCCTGACTGTAGCACGGGGAGCACCCAGGCCTTCTAGCTGGCAGTCAACAGGAGGACAGCAAACTCTGAGCAAGCACTCCGAGTGGGATGAAGGCCGCCTGTTCCCAGACCACCCAGTCTCCATGAGCAGGGTTAAGAGGGAACTCCTGATGTTTATTTTTGCTCTGCTTGTCAACCTCTTCACATCTTTCCACCAATTTCCACTTTAAATTCACTGAAACTAATCCCGTTAGGCCCTTTGCTTGTATTTAGGTCAGCGCAGGAAGCTCTGGCCCACCCGTTAGTCTTTATCCCAGCACACCTAGAGTTCTACACGTCCCCTATCTGTCCTAACCCACTCTGTAACTCTGTAACTACGCACTCTGGCAAAATAAATCCCCTATGTGGTCTCAATATATACTCTGAAAGCTTCTGGTCAGTGGACACTTGATATACCTCTAATGACACTTCTAACCTATTTGTGAAATACACTAAATTGATGATAACAAAACTGCTAAAAAACAATGTATCCAGGCAATTAAGAAAAGACAAAGTATTACCTGTGCATAACAGCAAACAAGGGGCTATAACCTGCTGTCAATTCTGAAGGCAAAAGATGCAAGGTCTCAAAGGCACTTACTATTTTTTCTAATGTTGAATATCTGTTAAGAAATAAAGCCCAACAAAGTGCCAGGCTCAGTGTGGTTATGTATTCAGCAAACATTTTTGGGCAGTTACCATGTGCTGGAACATGGAGATACAGAAACAGGGAAGGTGTGAGCTCTGCTCTCAAAA